GCTCCTAGCACCAAATCTCCAGATGTGAGTACATATCCTAGAGTTACTGCAGAAACCTTAAAGTTAAAATGGGACCATTTCTGGGATGGGAGCACGGGGGCAATAAGGAGGGGAATAGCAGGGGTACAAATAAATGATCTGATGGTGAAAAAGAGAAAAATGGAAGGTGTGCTAATTAAGAATTGGAGAGGAAGATCAGTAAAGAAGGAGGGTAAAATAACAGTAAGATGTCTGAAAAGTCACAAGTAATCATACTAGTAACGATTTAAAAAAAACCCTCACAATACATAAACCTATATACAAATATGCATATATAGTTGCAATGAAAATTTTCTATCTAGGTTGACAATGCTCCCTCAAAGAGCCAAAGACCACCTAACAAAAACCCCAATAACAAAAATCCCACCTAACAAAAAGGCTCTCTTTTGAGTTATTGACCAAAGCTGTCTGAGAGACTCCGAAGACATAGAGTTTATTCCTCTTGCCCTTGGCTACCTCTCAGAGGTGTAAGTTTAGTCCCTGTTGCTGAAGACACCATGCACTTCAGACACAGAAACCAGAAGCCCCTGAGCTGGAGGGGAACTGAAAGCTTCCCCCTGAGGAATTTAGGGTGGTAGGTGGTTGTTGCTTGTTTGATTGTTTGATTGTTTGGTTGTTTGGTTGGTTGTTTGGTTGGTTGTTTGGTTGGTTGTTTGGTTGGTTGGTTGGTTGGTTGGTTGGTTGGTTGGTTGGTTGGTTGGTTTTGGTTGGTTAGTTTGGGTTTTTTTTAAGACCAGATTTCTTTGTGTAGCCTTTGCTGTCCTGGAACTTTCTCTTAGACCAGGCTGGCCTTGAACTCACAGAGATCCACCTGCCCCTGCCTCCTGAATTAAAGTCATGCACGACCATCACCTGGCTGGGGTGGTGGTTCTTTAACAGTGAGGACTGGGCTGAGAAGTAAAAAGTGAGAAGTAAAACCTCAAAGCTAGAATTAACCTGCTGTTTTATGGATCATATTTGTATATTTTCTAGTTTACAGAGTGCACAAGATGGACTGGACCACTTTGATCCTTACACCATCATAGAGATGCTTATCAGCTTCCTTGTGTAGTTAAGGTTCAGGAACGTGCCACAGTCAGACAGGTTCTTCCGAGGTTCAAGCCTAGGTCTTCGGGCTCTTGTTCCACTCAGAGAGAAGCTTGTGGAGAAACAACAATGAATAAATGACTCTTTCTCCAACTACATATGGACGATTATAGAGATCAATAATATTTTGTTTCTAGGGAACTGACGGTAACTTTTCCCCATTCTCTCTTTCAAACCTACACCCACAAGCACAGCCAGAAAGAATGATTGGCAGCTATTGTTTATTTTACAAGGCTAGATGAATGACATTTCCGTGTCAGTGATACTCGAAAGCAACAAAAGGATAGGGTCTTCCCAGAGTACATTCAGCCCACCGCGCGACTTCTTTTGCATACTATCTCATGGAAGCCCTAACTTTTCACTCATACCACTAAGGAGATAGTTGATTGTTTCCTGAAAATGCTAATAACACAAAGCTCATAAATACTAATGAAACGCTATAGATTAGCAGAGCTCAGCAAGTAACCTAGGGAGCCTAGACAAGAATTCGTAGATTAAAAAATATAAAGAATACTTTTTAATCGAATTTCCTCCAGACTGGGTTCTCAAATGTTAATGAGTACTCTTTCTGGCTGTGTGGAGAGCTGACTCTAATAAGTACCTTTAAGAATGCAGAAGTGAATTATTGACTTAGTTTTAGTTGAAAAGAAATCTATTTATTCAAAGGCTATTTTAGGTGCCTCGGGATGGACGTGTTTAAGACAAAGGTGGGAGGGTAGGGAAGCCTGGGACGTTGTGATAAACACATAATTCAAATGCATGCCTCTATTTCAGCCAACTAAGCAATCTAAGTTGGAATGTGCTTATTATATTTGTCTTTTATGACACAACCTTCAATAATAATAATTGCCCTGGACTCTAAAAGCTGGTGTCAGAAATTATAACTTTGTCATTCATTGCTGAATCCCCTATGCCCAGCACAGACTCAGGCACAAATCAAATGTCCAATAAATGTTTGTTAAATGGATAAAAGACTTTCTTACAATATTTTCCAGAGCTTTTGAGATCTTCAATCTTTTCCTAAATGTCAGCTCGGATCGTGGTGACTGTTACAAAGCTCCCAAGTAAGACCCATCTCCACCCTAGCGACCAGACACCCTTTCATTCATCCTCCAGTCTCCTCTTCTTTCTCCCTGAGCTTCATGTCCTAGACTTTGCTCTGCATGAGATGTTTAAATATCATTTTTGCCCAGAGTTCTCAATCAAAAGCCTATTTATCTTTAAAGGAATCCTTAAGTAGCTGAAAGCTACCCTAATACTTTCCAAGAGCTCGGTCTCCTTCCTCTCCCTGATGCCCTTCCCCTGCCTGCAGAGCCCAGTAGCACCTGATGTAGACACGTGTGCTGTTGGTGTAACTGAGTGTGAATCCAAGGTACTGTGCCAGGAGCCCTTTGTCCCAGTATGGCTATGTGGGAGGTCGAGTGAAAGGACACCACCTGAATCTTCCCACAACAGAGCAGGAAACTTGCTCCAAGTGAACCAAAAATACTGTTACACAATTACTGAGGCAAAGCAAGGGGTCATGGCAAAAAGTTGAGAAATTCAAAGGAGGAAAAGTCCTTATGTGGGGATGGGTCCTCTGGAGTTCTGGAGGCACCAGTAGTTACTTTTCTCTTCAGAGAGCCTGGAATCTTGGAATCAGAATGGAGTATACACAGATCCATGTCACAGGGTGTCTCCAGCCCTCCCAGGGGCCTAGGTCACACCTCCTGTAAGAAGACATGGCCCCCAAGAGCACACTCTTCTTTGTTGCCAGGTTGAATTTTCGTTTGGGCTTAGCTATTCTGTAAACCTGTGCTGAGGAAGGAGTTGGGGTTTGTTCTGTTTCTTTTGGGAAGTGTCCCGTAATGAGACATCAGTTTCTTAGCAGACTGCTCTACGGTAGACTAGGATAAATGCTTGAGTCAGTCTGCAGAATAGCCAACGATTATAAGATTTTGCAAATCCTGGGCTGCTTGACAAAAATGGGTTAATTTTGAACAAAGGACTAGGAGGCCCAGAGCAATGCCTGTGAACAGTTCACAGATTGGAGATCTGGAGCCAAACTCTCCAGAATGAGTAAGTCCAGCCCTGCTACACACGTGGCCTGTGATTTGTGCTTCCCCTTCTACCTGAGGGGTGGAGAATAATAGCACCTTCTACATATGGCAATAATGTATCAGTGGGTATGAAGTGAATTAATAAGTAGAAAGTGCCTAGAACAGTGCCTGGCATATAATAAGTGCTTTAAAAATTTATGTTAAAACCATCATTGTACTTTTATAACATTGCTTTAGTTCCTGTGGACCAAGGGATTCAGTACTAGGTCCCAATTTGTGCAACTGCAAGGACTGTGCAAATAATAGCGTTAGGATTGGGGCCACACATCAGCAGATCAGGTCAGGTAGAACTGAGACGGGCATATGGCCACTGAGTATACAGGACAATTATCAAGCATGTAATTCAAGGAACTAGATCTCCTCTAGAACAACCTCTAGGGCACCATGAAACCTATCACTGTACCTGGAGCACAGCTTTAACCTCCAGGCAATAGAATTAAATAGGAACTAATCTGGAATTCTGAGACCAGGATACACACAGGCCTATTGGTGTAGTGTTCACAACATCACTCTATATCTCATTTAAAAGATGAAATCCCCCAAACCACTCAGGAGCCTGTAGCTGGATGATTGTAAATTCAAGCCTAACCTGGTTTACCTATGGAGACCCTGTTGATCAGAAAGTTCCAAATACTGCAATATAATTCACACCATCCTCACTCTTTGGCTGTCAGCATCCTTGGGAGAATGCTAGGTTCATTATCCAGAACTCTCTGTGCTAGATACAACTCCATGCAGCCTCAGACGTTCTGTTTCCCCACAGTAGACCTTGTATTTGTCACTTTTAAGTAAAACAGCTGGCCAGAAGTCTCTAGCCAGAAAATCGGTTACTCTCTCTGAGTCCAGAGTAGGTAATGTGTTACACAGCAAGAGATTTCTTAAACTTCTCCGAATCTTGCTTGTTCCCAAAGTCATCTTTGAACACAAGGATTGCAGGATTCACAGGACTTTACACCCAAGAGCTGATCCCCAAGGTGTTTGTGGAGAGGTGGAGTGGTGACAGGAGAGAAGCTACTTGTACAAGAATACAAGGATGCCTACTGTCCACTGAGTTCAGAATAGGGGCCCCATGCCTATTCTCAAGCATCAGTTCCCAAGGAGATGTTAAATTTCTTTCCCCTGAGATAAAACAAAACAGGTAGGAAAGGGACCAGGAAGGTTTTCTTGGAAGCAGCCACTGAGGTGACAAAGAGAAAGAAGGTAGACACAGAGAAGACCAGATGCAGGAGTGAAGTGTAAGAAGGGGAGAGAGTGTTGGGAAGAGAGAAAGCACCCAATGAGGTGGCAGGCATGTGACAAGATGAGGACTAAGGACCTCTCAGCCAGGAAGAGGTCATCTCATGTTGTGCTTAAGCTTTAGTAAATATCAAAAATGATAAGCTGTGTGCCTAGGACCTCAGACAAGGGGCTACCATATGGGAAATACATGTTCATCACCTGTCTGGTGAGCTAGGATACAGGAGGAGAATTAACCAAAAAGCACATGATAAACACATTGATTAATGTATTCAACAACTCCTGAGCACCTAATGTGTACCAGGTCTGACATAATGTTAACTCTTGTATCCTAAGCCTGATATCACCTGTGTGCATACTGAGAATGGGGTAATGGTTATTGGCTCGTTACATGCACTTTGTTGAGTGTTAATACAATTTCAGAAAACTCTGCAAGTCATTGATTCCTTCTCTTTTCTAAGCATACAGCCACTGACACTATAAAAATGATAGACCATCGCTACTGCATTTCTCTTGAATTATTCATTTTACTTTCTTCAGGTACTCCTGGTGGCATTCCCAAACGCGAAGCTGAAAGAAAAATAAATACCAAGTGGCTAACACTGTGTTCTGTGAAGCCGAGGGCTTGTTATATAACTGGGAACCTCTGGCCCCACGCTAGCCCAGAACCATGGAGAGAAACAGTTCCTTCTTCAACTCTATCTGGGAAACCATCCGGACCAGACACGAAAGAGGCGTCTTCAACACCGTCTGCCTAGCTGTGTTCCTGGGGCTGCCCCTGGTGGTGGTTCTCACCCTCTTCTTCATTTGTTGCCATTGCTGCTGTAGCCGGCCACCCAAGAGCAACCAACAGACAGACCAGAACAAGAAGAAAAAGAAAAAGAAGAAGAAGAAGAAGAAAGATGAAGACCTCTGGATCTCTGCTCAGCCCAAGCTCCTCCAGATGGAGAAGAGGCCATCACTACCTGTCTAGTGAGCAAGGAAGCAGAGTGTCCTCCCCTTGGAGTCAAGCCTCCTTCCAACCACAGAGACCTGAGGAGCCTTTAAAGTGATGCATTCACTCCCACAGATTACTCAACCAAGGGACAAATTTCAGAGTAAGCATCCCAGTGGATGGGAGTGTGTAGACAATTCTTACACTGTCTTGGCAGCTATGTGTCCAATATCAGAGCTCTCTGGTGTACCCCCAAGCATGTACTGCAGTTTCTGGTATACTCTACCACAAAAGCACAGAAAACATGTATACATGTGTGTTAGATGGCATTCAACTTTGTATGTATCATATGTATGCACATTTGGACAACAGGTACATGGGACGGGATATCCTATTTATCACGTGGCCATGTAATATGCATTTTGCTCAAATATACATGCTTGTAGAAATGTCTTATGGGAAGACATATCCAGATTTAGGTTCATATGCACAATTAAGTAGCCATGATGCAAGGCCCTATGCACTGTCTATATGTCATTCAGGTCAGAGATGGGTGCTTCCTATTCCTATACTTACATAGTATTTTACTGGAAATATATTTGGACATTCTCAGAACCTGGTACAGTCCTCACTTCAGTATATATTGATACAGACATAGCTAGTGGTTTCTATATGCTTCTGACCTTTTGCCTGTACCTAAAAGTTTAAAGTATGGCTCCAAATACACTCAAAGCTCTTTGCTTGCAATTCACGACAAGGTCCTCATTACCTCTGACAGATGTTTAATGTGGCCCAAGACCTCTCGGAGACATTACCCCATAACTACTCAGCAAGGTGCCCTTTTCTAAGCAGTGATGAACAGCTCTTGGCAGTGACTATGAGAAAGCTATGGAAACCCACATAGTCACTTCACTGGACTGCAGATGTGTACCCATGAGCTGTATAGAGAGATAGAAAGGGTAAGGAGATGCCCCGCATGAACTAGTTCTAATCCATGTGACCAAGGGCTTTCAGAAAGAAAACAAGTAAGATCATCCCGAGTCCAGTCTCATAAACACACACACACACAAGACACACCAGAAACAATCCTCCATGTTTGTAGCACTGCATGATGCGTTGCAGGTGGGAGGTAGAAGCCATAGTTTAGATGAAAGATAAAACTATAAAGATATCTCTTGCTATTTATGTTGATGCTCAGGAAAATATCTTGTACACAGTAGGTACTCATAACTGTGGGTGGCTATACAGTGATGCTAAGGATAAACTTGTAATACCTCATGATTCCCCCTGAGTGACCTACTCTTTTAAGAGACCCCATTAACTGCTACAGAAAGTGAGACAAAGCATTGAGACAGGGGTTGTACTGACATATGTGCACTGTGGCACCTGAGGCCATGCCATATTCTGAGTGGAGGAGAGCCTTTCCTTCCCAGCCAAAGGCTAAGAAAACAAATTGCATGGTGTTTTTGGTTGTGTTACAAAGGCAGAGAATTCCCAGCTTGGCAGTGACTATACTCCAATATCTCATTTGCACATCTACTGGAGAGCCCTATAGATATTGTCCCCACAGAGACCATTGTAGACAGTGGGAAATCACTGTCTTAATTAATGACTTAGCCAAATTATGACATTACAGTAGCAAGGAAAAAAATTCCCGAAATTGATGAGCCTGTACGAATGGAAAGTTGTACTCTGCTTGTTCAGTTGGGCTGCCTGGTACTCATGGCTCTACTCCCAGTGTGCACCAGGCCCTTGGAAGGTAGCTACCTAGTGGTCGCTCTCACAACTGGGTCTTCTAACAGGCAGCGCAGTCACATTCATTTGCTCACCCTACGCAACCTCAATGTCACTAGGCACTCAGGCCTTCCACCCACAGGCCTCTTTGACCAAAACAAAGCTTCCTGATTCTCTGCTGGTTGTGGAATACATGGCTGTCCTCCACATGTCACAGAATGATCAGTCTTCTCTTCTCTGCCAATTGCTACCCACCAGATGCCCTTCCCACTTCTCTCAGTCACCTTAAGACAGAAGACTTGAGGGTAGAAGTGAAGACACAGCAGAGATGGGATGTCAGATATGGTCTACAAGGATAGATCACCAGGATTAGGGACCATACAAATTACAAGGTTTCTGTGACAACTGGCTATCAGTTTGAATTAAGACAGCAGTCAGTTGTCACTGATTGCATAACAAAGCCTCTATCTCAGGCACAGTGTACCTACTGCTTTCTAACCAAGTAGACTTGCACCAGTTCCTGTCACGAGACATCCAGAAAGGCAATTAATTCCCAGTTCCTTCTATATCCTGGAATCCAGGAATCCCAACCCTGATTGGATCTCAGCTTCCTGTCACAGACTCTCTGATAGTCTTTGCAGAAGGTGCAGGGACCATTATATGATAGGCCCTCCCATAGATACTGGGGAGCAGAAGACCAAAGTAGTGTTTGGTGTCCTGTCTCCCTGCCTCACTCTTCCGATTCTTCTCGTATTGCTTCTTCTCCTGGCATCATGCCAGGTCGTTCCTTTATGACTTGACACTTTTTGCCCCTCAGTTGCCACGGATACAGTTTCAGAGTAGGATGCTTGGGACCTGTGCCTACCTGATCCATCTGGGGAGGGTAAGTTAATGGAGAACATAAGAGGCTCCAGGGGACTGGAGGAATGGCTCACCAGTTAAGAGCACTATTGCTTTTGTAGAAGACCCAGGTACCAGGCATGCATGTGGTACACATGTATACATGTAGGCACACCACTCATACACATAAAATAAATCTTTTTCAAAAATGTAAAAAGAGGATCCATAAAGAAGAGATCTTCTCAACTGGCATGGGCTTGGGTATGGGGGTCATCCCCACCCACACTGGACTTCTGGCCTGCCTTGGTCATACTCAGAAACAGTCGGAGGGGTCTTTATCCATTGTTCTTTGGACTTTTTTGATTTCTTGGGAGGAGGAAAAAGAAGAGGAAAATGTAAAGAAAAGCCAGTCACTTTTTTTGAGAAGAATATATAAATGATCAAAGCTGTAAAGTATTTGACAGTGTTTTGTTTTCTATAACATTCAAATACATATAAAAGTTTATTTAAATAAATATTTTGAAAACAAAATCCTCCTTTCACGTTGGAGTGAGTCACTGGCTTACCACTGAGATATTATTCTCACACAGAATTGACAGATGCAGGAGCTCTCTTTGCCTGGTCACTGCCCTCCTAGAATCTCAGGTCTGAGGACCAGGAATGGGGCATCTCTCCCTTCTAAACAAAGCAGGCAACTTTGGAAGCTAAAGTGAGCAACAGTGGCTACAGAAGACATACTGACTGATATTCCCTGGGGACACTTAGAAAACATCTCTTCAGTGAAGTCAGTGTCTTGTTATAGGAAACAGAGGAAATAACCTTTGGGTTAATTTGATGCTAAGATACAAAGGACTAAGGGACACAGATATCTGTGCCTATGTGCATGTGTTTATATAAACACATACATCCTTTTTCTAAGTCAACCACAACCTTGTGCTAGTTAGGAAAGTAAATGGCTTAGATGCTCTTGATTCCTCTCCCAACAAGGCTTAGTAGGTGCTACCTAGAGTGCAGGCCAACAGAAACAAGATGGTGAAATGTTCTCTACCGGTACTGCCCAAACTGGTACTATTAGCCACATGTGGCTTAGTTCATTAAAATTAAATTAGATTAAAAGTCCAGAGCTCAATGATGCCAGCCATATTTCAAGCACTCAGTAGCCACCCTGTGGCTTGGAACACCACCCCGAATGGCATAGGCTCGCATCTTGTGGAAAGAGTAGTCCAATGTTGGTGAACAGCTGCCTTGTTTTAATGGAGGCTTGAGAAGGAGGACACACAGCGCAGCTGCACTCTTCCTGTCTGGCCCAAGGCTGTTTCACAGTTTCAGCTGATCCTTCAGCTTTTCTCCTGTCACTACACAGCCATCACAACCGGGGGTGGGGGGGCAGAGTTGTAGTCACTCAGCCTGCTATTCACATCTCCAGGATATCGCAAAACCTGATGCAGAGAAGGGCCTGCCCAGAGGGCCACAGCACAACCTCCAGGTACCACATAGGCTCACCACTCCTTACAGGTCCCTCAGCCCCGCCTGCTCAGGCTCACCCACACTCTGCAGGGTGAGGACAGAGTTGCACAATGCAATCATCCATTAGCATTCTTACCTCACTGGAGTGCTCTGCTGGCTGCTTGTCCTTTGGCCTTAAGATCATTCTTGAATTCAAAGTCACAGGCGTACAAGATTGAACAGCAGCAGCAAAAAAACATCCCTTCGAACAACTTACTGTATCTGTCATAGGTTCAACTTATTGAAATGTTTTCAGATTTCCATGGGGACAAGCATCATGATGTATTCAGTAATGGCAGTGAGTATGTATCAAAGTATTTTAGCTTTTACTAGGTGCCAAGTCCACTGAGGCCCATAACAGAATATTTGCCCTGAAGTGTCACGACCTGCCTAAAAGGGACACACACACCAAGACTGGCATCAAATCAAGCTGACAAAGAGTTGCACTGGGTGAGCTGAGAGAGGAGGCCACCATTGGTAGAATGGACAAGAGGCCCTGAGCACTGTGGTGAGCACTCAGGACTAGAATGGTCCAGATCCTGAGTCCTACACCAGTTCTCACTTGTCATGGAATTTATGTCTGTGATGTTACCTCCATATTAAGACTTATCTTCAAAAATTAAATGGAGAAATGCATTAAAAACAAAAAACCAACAACAACAACAAAAACTTAGCACTGAGCCTGGCTTAGGGAAAGTGCTCAAGTTAAGTGTCATTAATGAAGGAAAACCATGGTTTGTGTTTTAGAAATCAAAGGAGAAACTTCCGGAGGAGAGCATGGGATTCCCCACACTCCGGCAACCTCCTTGCCTTTCACTCTCCTTTCTCTTTCTTCCATTCATGAACTGTCATAATCCTGTTGACTACTCACAGAAAACCAGCCTCACAACTGGTTCTCTATATACTCCTAGTGAGGAAAAAGAAGATGCAGAAGTTTTGAAGGAGAGTATAAGGTCTCAAGATCCAAACAAGAGACCTTACTACCTCAGAGGGACTTGCAGCCTGTTTGAAGCATTCATTATCACATTTAATTCCTGCATCACAAGTAGAGCCACAAGAGAAGAAGGCAACGTACCCACACTTGGGACAGAGATCTCAGTCTTCTTCTGGGAGCTTCGCAAATCTGGTCATAAGTGTCCAGATGGCCTCTTCATGTGTTTCACAGGGAGCCCCACTTCCTCAGCCTCCTCTAATTAAACCTGATTCTCTTTACTTGTCAAAAGTAAAAAAAGACTGCATTAATTTATTTTTCTTTAAATTTACAACACTGACCAAAGAACTGGCTCAGCGGTTAAGAGCACTTGCTGTTCGTGCAAAGGTCTCAGGTTTGGTTCCCAGCCCTACATAGCAGCTCACAACCATCTGTAACTCCAGTTTCAGGGGATCCAACACGCTCTTCTGGCCTCTATGGGTACCAGGCATGTACTGGTGCATATACAAAGATAAAAACACTTGGGCACATAAAATCAAATAAGTAATTCTAAAATAAAAATTTTAATAAAGTTAAAAAGTTGGCAAGGCAAATATAATAATAAGTAAAGCTTACATACTTCAGAACTATTCTTTGCTGTCTTCATACTTATAAGTACATAGAAGTTTATTTTTCTGTTGTGATCAGGGTTTTATGAGCTAACCTGGGAACTTTACTTATTTATATAACACTGGAATTGGAACTCAAAGCATACACAGAAACAATCCACTGACAGGGGCATTTTAGGAAGAGTTTTGAAATACCCCTGGAACATTTCTACCCACTTTCCAGCTCAGTACACAGAGATTAGAGAGGTTGCGGGGTAGACACAGCCAAGAATGAACTAGGCAGCCCCTTCCAGGGAGTGCCTGCTTACCAGTTCTGTTAATCCAGGAAAAACACTGCCTGAGAAACCACTAAGTGCAGGTTGGATGCTCACCAGGCCCCACTGGCTAACTCTCATGACAATGCTACCCAGGAAGGAAGAAAAGTGGAGAACCCTCCAGAACTTCCCTTTGTGGAGGAGAGTGTCACTTGCATTGAGAGACACCTGATAAGACAACACTGCCATCTACTGGCAAGAATGGGTATAGCAGGCGGCTTACCCTGGGCTGTAGGCTCCAACCTGGTTGACTGGCTCCATTAACTCTGTTGAGCCTCTCTCTCCTTGACCCTGGTGGAAGGCTTAAAGTAGTGAAGACTTGTAAGGTTTTTTTTTTAAATGGGGGAAATCTTTTCTAGTAACTAAGTTTCACCAGCAGCTTTTCACCATCTTTTTTTTTAGTTCTTTGCATGCCTCATCTGCATGCTCTCACTTCACACAATCCACACCTGAATTGTGTGTGTGTGTGTCTATCTGTCTGTCTCTGTACCTGTCTCTGCCTCTCTTTCTCTGTTTCTTTCTGTTTCTCTCTTCCTTCCCCCTCCCTCACTTCCCCCTGCAGTGTATTCTCGCTTCTGTAATCCTTGATTCTCCAATTTCATTCAAGTTATGAGACAGAACACTCAAACTCGACAAACATAAATGCCAACCCATTTCCAGATGAAGCAGCCATGACACATAAACATCTTCAAGCTCCGTGGTCACAGGCTGGCCTTTGAAGCCAGTCCTCCTTCAATCCTGCTGATTCTACAGGTCTCTTTCGGACACAGACCAAGGGAATCGGTACCTCTTGGAGAACCATTATAGCAGCTGTGAGCTGGTCTGTGACCCTCCCCCTTTCCTTAGGCCACAGCTCTTGTGGATGGGTAAAGGGCACAGACAGAAGGAATGACTTCTGACTTTCTGAACCACGGTGGAGTCACTGTGGCTGGCAAGAACTGTGTATTTCATAGTAACTAGTAGAGAGGTCTGTGCATGTTCTCAACACTGAGGTATGATAGATGTCTGAAGTGATGGAGATGCCAGTCACCTGCACGTCACACTTCACATCGTACATGCATATTGAAATGTCATGCTTTACCCACAGATATGTGTCAATCAAAGATAACACAAGGGCCGGGAGATAGCTCTGTGGATAAAGTGATTGCTACTCAGGTGTGGGGACTTGAGATAAATGCCAGTGGAGTGTGGCAGCCACCTGAAGTAAATCCTTACACTGTGGAGGTGTAACAACTGGCTGGCTAGACTGGCCACATCAGCGAGTTCTGGGTTCAGAATGAGAGCCTATCTCAGGAAATGAAGTAGAAAGTAGCTAAGGGAGACCCAGGATAAACCTGTGTCCTATACACATGCATATCCACACATGTTAACACACGTGTACACACGCACACAATGTAAGTAGTTTTCAAAAACCCCAGTATGTTGCCTTCTCCAACCTGTCACCAAACTAATATTTCCAAAATACAAGCCTGCCATGTCACTTCAACATTTCAAAGCCTCTGAGAGCTCTCCACTGTTCAAAAGCTTGTGTGGGAACAGTGTCTCTCACCCCTGGATTGATGTTAGAGGGCCGTGGGGAACTTGGAAAAGCTCAGGTGTGTGTGTAGAACTCACCCGAGACCCTCTGGCATGGGATCTCTGGAGTGACAAAGAGCAGAAGGACACACATCAAGGCTTACACTGGCTCCAAATGGCAGTGTGAACTGATACCACTGCAGCAATTGCCCGTCCTTCCCACTGGCTCTGTGGGCTCCTCAACCTGGCTCTGTGGGCTCCTCAACCACTAAGAAGCCATCTTGCCTCCCCTATGTCATCCATGTGCAGCCTGACTCTCCCAGGTGTCCTCACTGATTCAGTCTGTCTTTCTAGATCTGATGCCATCACTACAGCCCCCTAAAGCCTTTTTTGGTGGAATTAGATACACACACACACACACACACACACACACACACACACACAGTGACTCACTTTTTCCATAAGCCACCACCATCCTGGTTCGTTTCCTGTCTTCTGATAGTTAACCAGGGGCAGCAGCTTGCCTGCTCATCTCTGCCTTGTGCATACCCAGAGTAGGTAACTCTTTGGAAACTTTACCCCTGTTTGTGGGACGAATGTCCAGGCCCCTGCTCTGCTCCTGTCATCTAGTGTACCCCCACTTCTCAGGTACCTTTTCACTTTGGGTCATCCTGGAGCATGGGATGTCTTCCGTTAAGCGTCAAGCTTTTTAGGATCCATAACCTGACTCTAAGAAAATGTTTGAACCTCTCCCCAGAAACCCATTTCATAGGCCCACATTCCATTACTGGAATGAACTGCTGGGTGGGCCATGTTAAAGCAAGGGGCAGCATGGAGGAAGGTTGTGGGCTGGAACATTGCCCACTCTATAAACACTCTGAAATGAACTTCCCATATTTCCTTTCCTTCTCACACTAAACTAGTTGAAGGTCAGCTGAATATTTCTCCATGGCAACAAAGGGCCTGTATGCAAAAGGATGCTAAAACAGCTTCAGTCTCCCACACAGGTCAGTTTAGTTGCCAAACTCTGGGGTCAATGAACCTGAGATGGGCATGGTGTCATCTGGTGCCGTCAAACCCTCCTCCGGAACAAAGGCTATGGGTCACTGACTTGGCTATAGAACTACACAGACATAAAAAGGCCAGCAATTCTAGGGCAGTTATGAGTCATAACATCTGAAGAGGGAGTCCACCAATCTAGTTAGTCTGTGATGATTTGAATATGAATGCCCCCATAGGCTCAGATGTTGGAATGTTTGATCACCAGGGAGTGGCACTACTTGGAAAGGATTAGAAGGTGTGTCCTTGTTGAAGTAGGTGTAACCTTATTAGAGGAAGTGTGTCTCAGGAGAGGTGGGCTTTAAGGTTTCAAAAGCCCAAGCTAGGCCCAGTATCTCTCTCTTCCTGCTGCCTGTGGATCTGGATGTGGAACTCTCTCCTACCTCTCCAGGGCCATGTCTGCCTGTGTGCCACCCATGCTTTCTGCTGTGATGATAATGCACTAAGCCTCTGAAACTGAACTGTAAGTGTGTAACCCAATTAACACACTTTCCTTTATAAGAGTTGTTGTGGTTATGGTATCTCTTCACAGCCATAGAACATTGACCAAGACAATGTCTTATCAAGCACACTTCAGAAGCCTGCTCAATGTTGAGGGTGTTGCTACTGTAGGCCATCTCTCTGGCTCTAGGTTAGTGCTGGGAATGGAATCCTTTGTCCAGGAAGCAGTTTCTTCCTAATAGGTTTGAACTGATCATGATGATCCCTTCCAAGGACTTTTATTTGCAGAGACGAGGTGCATTTGTACAAATAAGTATAGAACAGGGAGAAGGAATCTGAGAAGACACGGAGCTAGAAGGTGCTACAGAAGGGCCTAAGACAGAGGAGGAAGTTACCTAGGGCTTAAACCCCAACAAAAGTACATCAAGACTCAGAGTATCTATTGCTGAGAATATCTCCCTCCAGGAAAGTCTTCGAAGCACAGGTCTCTGCCACAGCCCCATCACCTCCGAAGCTCTTCTCAGCAGTAATCAGTTCCTGAAGATATAAACTGACTTGTCTCTCTCATCATCAGTCCCCAACTCTAAAGCTGACTTGTTATTTACTGATCATCTCGACCCCTGGGGTAGAAGCGTATCTTGTTTATTGTCAGCCTTTGCCTGGCATATGTAGAACAAAGTATGAAAGTGAATGCTGTTTATTTGGATAGGTTTGGCACTTAGAACAGAACTTGGTACATGCATTAAATGTCGAATAAATGAGCAGATGAACAAAGGACAGCTACAAGCTCCGACATCACCAGGACTGTATGACTTGTCTGTTTCCCTAGCAGGCCACCACTTCCAAGATTCTTGACTCAATGAACAATGTGCATGCACTTTTTTAAATGATTAGCCCCGGTGCTGAGTGGTCTTCAGTTAGCCCTCTCAGCATCAGATCCAGCCATTGCTGTGGCCTTGCTAGATGTGTTTGCCTGGCTAGGGGTGGGGATCTTGAAAACCTGAAAGACTGGCACAAGTGGTTTCCAGTGTATGGCTTGGCGTGGACCCAGAGGTGGAACCTGAGAAAGCTAAGCAACCACATACACCCTAGACCAGAGGGGAAAGTGCAGCTTCTAGAACACTTTCCCCTCTTTCCACTCCCATACTTCTGCTGCATTCCAAAGAACACTGGTTTCCATGTCTACTGTCACACAAGTCAGAGACTACAGCCAAACCAAATTCTAGAGTAATGCTCAAATTATCACTTCACTCATGCTTCATTTAAAATTCAAGGGGAGAAAATAATACAAGACATCTTTTTAAAAATCAAATGGTTTATTTTCGTTTTCTTGAGTAGGAGTTTAAGTTACTTCAATGGTCACTGACTTGGCTACAGAAAACCTTCCAAAATGATACCAAACGCACAAGAAGGGTGATATGAGGAAGCTTCCAGTGTGGGAAGCAGAGGTGGAGGGAGGCTGAGGGCTGACAGACCAGGGAATGGGGGGAGGCATGGAGGTGAGTCAGGGAAGACTGAGGATACCAGTTATTTAAAGATATGGGTTATTTAAAGATGAAATGACTGCAAATTTATTTACAACATATGCAGATCTATGGAAGAGCTTATGCAAATGTCTGGAAAAGGGGCAGTTAAAAATAGCAATAAAATGGGAGCTTTGGTCTCCAGAATGCTAGAGACTAGTCAGAACTTAACTATGAGTGTATCATGGCCCCTTTGAAGTCTCTTCATTCTTCATCACACAGGAAGTTTAAAAGGAGTAAGAATTATGCTTTTCTTTCAAAAACCAGGAGAACCAGGAGACAACAAGTAGCAGGTTGCCTTAGCTCTGACCCCCTGGGGGATCAGAACCTCACTTCGGTATTTTTCTACAAAGATCTATATTATCAAATGGATACAGAAGTCTCCACCAATTTCTAAAGATTTCCAATTGATGGTCCAGTGGGTGATTAACCTTTTTGTCCTAATTCAATACATCTGTCATTAAGGATGGGCTGAAGCACCTTGTGGTTCCAACACTGTGTCCTACCCACATGTACTGTTCAATTATAACATTGTTGGCTTTCAGGGCCCCCACTAGAGACAGGTAAACATGCCGATGACATGGAAGGAACTTCTAAAGGTCAAAGTGTGATGACTGACGTCATTAGCTCTGTGTACCCAGCGATCTAAGAAGTTAGAGAATATGAGCATTCCTCAAACTTCAGCTCCCCAGTCACCACCACCCACCCCGCCTGCCCCAAGCTTGTCTCGTCTCCTGTGAAGACAGCTCAGACAGGCCTTCAGAACATTCTTGCCCTTCCTCCTATGGAGCGCTTCTTTCTGCCAGAGAAACGGTCTCTGCTGTAACCAAAGGGGCGGATTTTCAGCTCCACATAAGGAATGGAGAACTCATGTCCTTTCCATGGCTCCCAGTTCACCCCCTGTAAAACAAACAAACAAACAAACAAACATCAAGAAAAAGTAGTTGGAAGAAGAGTAAGGTGGCGTGTGGTAGGGGGATCCTAGAGAACAAGAAATCACTCTGTTTCGGATGGAGAAGGAAAAAGAAGAGGAAGTTCTAGTAGTAATGGAGCCAAAATAGGAGGGCCAGATCATGTACCCTCTCCTGAAATCTGACAAGCTGAGTGGACAGAGAAAGAAGCCTCCATGGTGGAAAGATGGGGTGTGAGCCCAAAATGTAGGGGAAGCACAAAGTTGACAAGGGAGTCAACTTAGGCAGAGAGCAGCAAATCAGCCATTGCTGTACACTATTCTTTACCAAAAAATAAAAGGCAAAAATAAACATATTAATTACCCAATTGTGTAAAATCATTTTCAATTTAGACTGTTTAGATATTAGCGCTGGGGTAACAAATGGCCTGCTGAAAACTAAATTTCATTTTATGTCTTTTGACTGGTGAGCACAATAATATTTAATTCACTTAATAACCTTGCAACCTGGCCAATAAAGAGCCCAAGTGACCAATTTTATGTGTTTTAATTTGTGAGGTAAATAATAAACAAGAAGCTAAATGGCTTGCAGACCGAGAAAAGCACATTAACCAGATGAATGTCTTTTATTAGCAAATGCAGGGATGGTTTAGGGCATGCTGGCTGCTCATTTCAAATATTTGATCTCTGATCACAGGCTTCCCTAGTCGTCCCACATGCTGCCACCATGATTCATTGGGCCAACCTTCCTCATTCCCCTAGGGGCAAATTTCTTCTTCCCTTAAAAAAAAAAAAAAATCACATAAAGATTGGGAGTCCTGGCTGTGTAGTAAGAACCAAACTAATAAGAGTGAACCTGGATTTGAGAAGTGCTGATATTTACTGTAATATTGGTATGTGTGAGTTCTGGGGAGAGGTGGTCTCCTGAAGGCCAGGATCAGGACCTAGGATTAGAAATTAGAGACCCAAGGCAGGTTTATGGAGGACAGGAGATTAACTGTGAATAGAAGAAAAGTGTAATTTTCAAGAAGCCAGAGTGGTCACAGATGTCCTGTAGCCAGCAAAGAGTCACCATGATATACAAGGGTCATGGAGGTCCAGAAAGTACAGTCAGGAAAGTTTGCAAGAGAGGAACCCTCACATACACTGAGCTCTGAACATTGTCCTGACAGAGGGGCAAGAACAGGGTGCAGCAGACTCTTGGTGTCTTAGGCTAAAGTGGAGGCAAGAATGAGTCTGACCCAAGGTCGAACCTGTTTACCTAGTGATCAAGGGACCCAGAGAAACAGCTCTGCTATAATGGAGAGGCAACCAGAAAAGACAACCAAGGGTCTGGTTTTGGATTTAATGTTTGTGTTCTCCTTGAATTCTGCATATTGAAATTTTATTGGTCCAGTTTGATAGTATTCAGGGGCAGCTCTCTCGGGGGTCATTTTAGATGCCCCCTTAATAGAAAAGGAAGAGGTCAGATGGCCTCTTTCCACGTCATGTGAAGATTTAACTAGGCTTCTGTCTCCTTGCCAAGTAGCAAAGCCCCATCAAGAATGAATCTGCTGGCACCATGGTCTTGGATTAGGAAACTCTAGAACTGTAAGATATGCAAGTCTGTCTTAAACCACCTAACCTGTGGTAGTTAGTTACCGTAACCTGATCTATAACAATGTCTGATTGTGAATTAGTAAGGTACATTGATAGCTAGGTATGGTGTTGCACACCTGTAACCTCAACCCTCAGGAGGCTAAGGTAGGAAGATTCAGAGTCCAAGGCCAGCCTAGGCTGTATAACAAGAGTCTATATAAACAACAACATGAACAGCAACAACAAACATTTAGCCAGATGTGGTGACAGATGTCTACAATCCCAGAACTTGAAAAGTAAAGACAGGAGAATCATGAATTTATGGCCATCCTCAGCTACAAGGCAAGTGTGAGGTCAGCCCGGGCTACATGAGACCTACCCTGGCTCAAAAGTATTATAAAAGAAACTTAAAAATGAAGTGAGACGCCATGTGATTCACATCATGGGTCTTTATATACCAGTGACAATGAATCACCCACATGCAGCTGAATAGAGGTGTCTTAGTGTGATGCACACCATGTAGTATCCATCATCTGACACCATGAAGCCTGAGGCACAGTCTCCTGACCAGACTGGAAGCTTCAGAGAGAGGGGGAACTAACAATCTCACCTGGATGGCATCGCTTTGGGAGTAGAGACAGGCAAAGCTTGTGATAGAAAAACTGTTCACCTGCCACTTACCTCACTGTGCTTGGTCTCTCCATATTTGCCATTCGGATTGGCCAAATGGCAGTTCTTATACCACCATCCACCATGATGTGTTAGCGCACAGTTGCTGAGGGCAATATCATTGTCTCTGTCGAAAGTCGTGAACTTCCATCCATTGTGGTAGGTGAGAGCATCTCCTGCAGGAGAGATAAGAAGGGAGTCAAGAACTATGAGAAAGAGGCCCCAGCAGGCAACATCTAGGACTGAAACACCAAGGATCCAGCTGTGTATCATAGGTAGTCACAACTAACTCAGAATGGAACAGGGTGTAGATGAACAGGTTGTCCTTGATGGCCTGACCATTAAACATCAGATCTGGTTCTCCGTCAACCTCAACAACATTTTCACTTGGAAGTTCTACCATCACATCAAGTGTCTAACCACACTTCACTTAATATAAACACTCTGTGTCCTTCTGCATTTACTATGTTGACCATTTTCCCTGCTGCCCTTGACCCAAAATCCATGCACTTTGTTTGATAACATACCCTTGATGTAACCCTACTTTCTCAAATCACCCTTTCTGCCTCTACACAGTGGCCACCCAAGTCTCTTTTTATCTCTGAGGGCCTGTGTTCAACCAACAACCTTCCTTCTCACTCCATCTACCAGCCCCTGTGGGAGTACCCATTTCACTGTCTTAAGCTTAGCATCCTACCTTCCACCATAGAGAAGATTATTCATTCTGCTTGCTGTGCAGGCTTGTCACTGGGCTGCCTCCTATGCACAACCTCTGACCCCATTGTCTCTAGTAGTGTGGGGAGCAGGCCCATTTGCCCTCTGTTGTCCATTGTTCAAACCCTCACCTCCCTTACAGTCTAGCTCAACTCTACTGCTAAAGGAGATTCTCCTCATTGATCTTCCCCCTCCGTCCCAGCATGCACACGCACACGCACCTGAACTTCGAGAGCCCTTCTGGGGACGTATGTAAAATTTAATGCTTCGTTACATCTTGCCTGGAATCTGCTTTAATTACTTCACTCATATGGCACCTCTTTCCCCTACCACATTCGTCATCCACTTAGAAGTTTACTTGCTTTTTCAGCTCATAAAAGGCAATAAGAGCCCATATCAATCACCGGCTTAATCAAGTTCCCCTCCTGCAACAATGACACTCACATTTGCATCTAATTGCTGTGACTCTCACAGGCCTTTGTGGTGGGCAGGGCTCTTTTGGATCCCACATGGAAATAAAATTCTGGGGATTCGCCTATAGCAACCTGAGGTTCCAGATGCCACAAATGACATTGCCAAGACTCAACCATTAGTCCTCAGATTCTAAAATGACAATTCTTTCTGAAACACAGATTACCCTGAGGCCTCCTCATTCCCACAGAGGACTTCATTCTTCTAATAAGTGTAGTCTATCTCTGATAGCCGTCAATAATAGTTCTGGAGGCAGTCCCCAAAACCTAAATCACCGACATTATCTGAGAACCTACTAAAAATGCAAATTCTAGGTATAACCCAGGCATGCAGAACTAGAAATACACAATGGGTGGGAGCATGCCATGGGTACTTCAACCTTCATGTGATCCTGGCACAGATGCAGCTTCATTCACACACTTATTCAGAGGAAGTATACCTCCCCATGATGGGTGAGCCCCATGCTAGGCTCTGACAATACAAAGCAGAAGAGGTTCTTGTTCTTGAAGACTCTGTTGGGGTGAGTTAGAGCAGGTATGCAAAGAGTTCATAGGAGCTGGGGACATGGGCACAGTGGTAACAAACACTTAGGAAGTTCAAGACCCCCCAATTCAGTCTCCATCATCCCCTGCCCCTCTGGAAAGTTAATAGCCCCTTATGCAAAGGGAAGTGTGGTGGTATGAATATGTTTGGCTCATAGGGAGAGGTGCTGTTAGGAGGAAGTGGGGGTGGGCTTTGAAGCTACACGCAGCATGGAAGAGTCAGTCTTCTAACTGCCTCGGAACAAGATGTAGAATTCTCAGCTCATCCAGTGCCATGCGTGTCTGGATGCCACCATGCTTCCCAAGATGATGATAATGGACTGGACCTGAGAACCTGTAAGCCAGCCTAAATTAAATGTTGTCCTTTATAAGAGTTGCCTTGATCATGATGTCTCTTCATAGCAATGGAAACACTAAAACAGGAAAGTAGCAATTTGTCCTTCCAAGTCTGTAAATTCAAGAGTGATCCCTTCATGCCTCACCCAGCAAAGGCAGGATCCTTTGGTGCGTAGACACCAAGATGGCCACGCCTCCATTTCTTCCAGTCAGAGGAAAAGACAGACTGTCGCTTTATTTGTTTACATTTTCTCCTCCCTCCAGATTTCCTGCAGACAGTTAACTACAGCTTGAAATAACACACAATGGCTCCCCTAGTAACATTCTTTTAATAAGCACAGCTTTCCTAGATTGAATATGAAGTTCTCAGAGCTTATTTTCCAAGACCCAGACAAACACTTTCTCAAAGATATCTTCAGTTATCTAACCTTGGACCCTGGACTAGAAAAAGGAAGTGAGCTTTGGTGTGTTTGAAACATTTATATTATTAATTATAATTATTATTTCTGCACATGGATTTTCTACCTTCGAGAAACTGAAGCCAAATTATTGTTCAGAGTATAGAAAATGACTATGCTCATGGATCAGAAAATAATTGGCCTTAGCTGAGGTATTATTCTGAATCAATGAATTTATTTTCCCTAAGTAAAATCAAGTTAATCTGGGAGTGATGGACACTCCTTAACACCAGAACCCTGGAATCTAAGGTGTGAGAATTGCAAGTTTGAGGCCAGAGTGGACTACATAGAGGCTCAAAAATAATGAATTAAAAATTAGTTAAGCCAATGATGTTTAGACTCGCTCATATTAGTGTTAGGAGAAACTGCTAATGAACTCTATTCAAATTGCCTGTCCTTGGGCTTTGCTGGAAACTGTTCTTCTTAAGTGTGGTTTCAGAGGGTTATAGAAGACTCATAGGAGGTCTAAACCCACACTCAAGGTATAGCCACTGTCTTAATTGGGGTTTCTATTGCTGTGACAAAACACTATGGCCAAAAAGCAAGTTAGAACGAAAAGGATTTATTCAGCTTACACTTCCAGATCATAGTTCATGAGTGGACAAAGTCAGGACAGGAGTTGAAGAAAAGCTGAAACCTGAAAGCAGAAGCTGATGCAGAGACCATGGAGGGTGCTGTTTACTGGCTTGCTTCCTCTGGCTTGCTCAGGTTGCCTTTTTCTAGATCCCAGGACTACCAGCCCAGGGTTGGCACCACCCACAATGGGATAGGCCCTTCTCCCTTGATCACTAATTGAGAAAATTCCTTGCAGTTGGATCTCATGGAGGCATTTCCTCAAGGGATGCTCCTCTCTGTGTGATGACTCTAGCTTGTGTCAAGTTGACATGCAAAACCAGTCAATAGCCACTCCGCTTGTGACTGTCCATCTCAGCCAAATGTCACTCTGAGTCCCACTTTCCTCCAGTGTTTAATAGTGCAGAAAGAATAATAATGATTCTGCAGCCTCCACCTAAGACCTAAGACCAGGAGAAGCCATAAACATCATAGCCCCTGTGAGTCACATTCAGACAAAGGGCTGTAAGGCTAGACCTTAAATATCTGTTCCCTGAGATTGAAGGGAGCAAGGAAAGAGTTGTGGTGACCGTCTAGCTCTGCTTCTTCTCTGTGAATCTATTAATTCTTTTTTGCTCAGATGACGGCCTTTAAAAATCCATTTCAATATATAAGAAACACTGGCTTTGGGTTAAAACAACTTTGTGTAGACATTGTCAGTGTTGGACTATGAAGTGTTGTTAGAGATCCTCGGTCACACTCCCAAGTGTCCCCTGGAGGAGCACCCATCCCTTGAGCACCCCAGAATGGCTGAGCCCCAGGCAAGAGGGGCATGAGATAAGCTGTAAATAGTTGGGTAGCCCAATGGAAACTCTGGCAGAGTCTATGTTTGCATTGCCATCTCTACATAAATGAACAACAACTTAATGGTAGAACTCATAGAAAGCCTGTAAGATTCAGCACCAGAAACTAACACTCTGTTGCCTTACTGAAGTTTCCTTTGGAAAAAGAAGGAGGAGGGGGAGAAGGAAGAAGAGGAAAAGGGAGGAGGGAGGAAAAGGAGGAGGAGAAGGAAAAAGCAGAAGGAGAAAAAAAGAGAAGGAGGAAGAAGAAGGAGAAGCAGAAGCAAGCAAAAGCACTGTGATTTCAGTGGAAGTGAGAAGTGATCGGTCCAGCTGGACAATCTGAGGTGAGGACAAGCTGAAGCCTCACCTTTCCACCAATGCTGTGCATCTCCGCTGTAATAAAAGCATTAATGAAGCTAGACACAGGGATAGATGGCACGCATAGAGAGAGGGAGACCTTCACCTTCCATTTGAACATCCGTCTTCTCTCTATACTCCATAACAACCAGAAACATCCTAGATTTTAAAACCCTCATCTGAACCAAAGCATAGACAAGAAAAGCTAAAACACCACTGATCCCATTGTTGTAATACAGGACATAAAGGTAGGAACGACGGCACACACAGGAAGACTTAGATAGCTGCCTAAATGCTATGTGATTTGAGAGTCTCCCAAGGCTTCCTATTAAAAAAAGACATCCTCCGCTGGCTGGGCCTATTGGCCTGAACAACCTTAAAATAGGAATTACCCCCTAGTCACAGTTAAAATGCAAATAAGGTACCTAAGAGGAGAATCACATTCATTTAAGACTATGTTGACTCCCTTTCCCATCAGCATCAGCTCATTTGCTGAATTATGTTAACTAGGCTTCGAAAAGGCAATGTTTAATAGTCCAAGGAAGGAATGGGAAAGAAAGGGACAAACTGGAAAGATGGTTCTGAATGAAGTCCCAACCAAGAAGCCAGGAAGAATGCCAGGTTTGGAGGAAACAGGAGGCACGGGAGCCAAAGAGAAACACCTGACTTCAAACGTGTCCAGGAAGATCTCAGATATGAAGTGTGTAAAAACTGAGACTCTAACCTGAGAAGTAAAGCCTAAGTCTCACTGAAAGCATGAAAGATAGTCAGATAGACTACATGTAGGCTAAGATCAGAGCAGGAGGAGGCCGATAAGGGAAACTGAGGGCTGGCCGGTAGGTCCTTTATTATTCTAAATGGTTGGAGAGACTGAAGTTATCAGAAATGCAATCTCACCTTGTTTAAAGATGACATAAGAGTTATGTAATGAGCTTGGTCCTCTGAGACAGTGAATTTATGTTATTTTAGTATTAAATTATTATGATCACCGTGTGTGATAGTATATATCTTAATCCCAGCACTCAAGAGGCCAGGGCAGGCAGTTTACAAGTTGCACGATAGCCTAGGATACATATCAGAGCCTGTCTTAAAAATAATAACCATTATGATCATTTAAATCATTCTGTAACTACCCTGATAATTACATGAACAAAGGTCCATCTGTGTTTCCCAGTTGTATCCAAGCTGCCTCTTCCTCCTTGAATTAAAAAACAACAAAAAAAAAAAAAAAGAAAGAAAAATTCTCACTGACTGGCCTTGTTGGCCTGAGCAACTTTAGAACAGAAGTTATTGTCTAGTAAGAGTTAAAATTTGTATAATGTACCTGGGGAGAGTCAATTAATTTAGAATATGTTGACTCCTTCCACTCGCTTTCCCGGTAGCCTGACTTTCAGAGCTGACTCTCACTTAGAATGCATGCCATGCAGGCCATCTCCAGCACATAGAGATACAGAACATCTAGGGAAGGAAGGGGCAAATCCAAAACAAAATGGGCCTTGGGAGCTGTGGTGCCTTTCACTGCAATTATTTTCCCCAGAAACAATTCTTTACACACTTGTCCCCATGCAATCCCTACTTAAAATCCTTGAACAGTTCCAATTTGCCCAAGTGCAATCCCTTTGGTGACAGGCATTCACCTGCTCTCATAGTCCCTTGTCAAACAAACTTGGGATCTATTCCTATTAAGGTATTAAGTATCCATGAGATTAGACAGAGAAATCCTGCTGGAAATTTCATTGTTTTAAAACTCATTAACTCTGTAACAGGCTTTGTGTTAGATACTATGAAATGAGCAAAATTATGTAATGGTTTTAAGAAATGAAATTATAGAACTCAAAGAAATTTTCCTGTTATAGAAAGTATTTAATCTTAATCAGAGGTTTCTACCCTGCCTTTAACCATTCAGTTCCCACATAGAAGACACACAACCTTTATATTTAGAGTAAGTCTTATATACTAGAGCTGGGCAGATATCTACCCTCTGTGTTATTGGTATCTACTTCCCTATCAATAACCTTGTATTAACTTGCCATGCTGCATCTGGGACACTCTTAACTCCAATTACCAGCCCTCATGGCCATGTATTCATAACTCACCTACCCCATGGCATCTCTCCACTCTCCCCCCATCCCGTTTCATGGACCCTGCCTCTGACACCAAGCCCAGAAACCAAAACCCTGCCTATCTTTTGCCCAGCTACAGGCTGTAGGCATCTTTATTCACCAGTCAGGGATAACTTGGGGAGCAAGGTTATATAGTGTCACTTAGGTTTATGTGCAGATTCTCTTGTCCCTAGGGACAACCAGGCTTTGGAGGACAGTATTTAGTACTATAATACATAGCAAAGGACCAAACTTTAACATTTCCCATACTTAGTTGGCCATTTTTAGATCATAACTCCAGACCTCAGAGATCCTCAAAGACACAATTTTGAGATGCTCTACAAATCTTTTGGAGTACACTGCAATCTGTTTGCCTTGGGTTAGTCCTCTATTCCTCCTGGGAACCCTCAGATGTGGTAAGCCCCTTCCTTTGTGTTTGGCCCTCTGTCTGAGCCAACCCCAGCCCCATGTCCTCTTGGAAGCTTCCTCTAAGCCACTCAGACCCTTGATGTACCCACCATTCCCATTCCTTAGCTCTTTACTTCCCATACCACTTGGTCTGCAAAAGTTACTCTCCTCTTTCCATGTGCTTTAGAGAAGAGAGACTACATCTTATACAGTCAACTAATTTTGCCAGTAACACATTTAGACATGGCTACACCAAAGTCAGAATCAGAGCAAAGGCAGAGAAGCCATAAATATCATCTTTAAAATATGTATTAAAGCAATAACCTCAACCACACCATCTCCGCTTAAAATGTTTGTCAGTATAATCCCTGCAATTCAGTCATGAGAGAAGCATAACAGTCACACTGTGTTTGGAAGTTCACTGAAAGGCTCAGAATTAAATTTCTCAAAAATGTATAAACAGCCTAAACCCGGGGAGACTAAAAAGACAGTTGGGTGAAGGGGTAGAGAACATACAAAAACAATCAGTTTAATGGTTAAAGATGTCCTTACTTCCTTTACCCTCAAGCCCCTTCAGAGCGCATGACGTCCACTGTTAGTGAGGACACCCAACTTCTGCATATCAGTATCCCACAGCCTACATCCATGGCACATGGCAAACCAATCCTTAGATGACGGTAACAAGAAGACTTCCGGAGTGAGACGCCTCTCTTACCTGCTGTGCCTCTGTATTTCCCAACCGACAGCTTGTACCGCTCTTTGCTGGACGCCACTTGGAAGAAGTCATATACAGCGTAGGCAGATTCATTGACAGTCTGTAAGTCTGCCCTCACCTCATACCGAGTGGTAGTGCCAGTGGTGAGATTATGTAGTTTATCAAGTCCTAAAAACATGGAATGGAATGGAATTCAACTAGTCAATCAGCTTGTGTGTGAGAGAGCTCTCATTGTCTGTATCTGAGACATACAGAGATAAAATTCATCTTAGTATATAATCTTCTCTGCTAACAAAGAGCTTTCCCAACTCTTTCTCCTGAGGTGCTAATATTCTCACCCTTATTTCTTTGGCACCGCAATGCTAACGACTTTATGGAATGCCATCAGATAGGAGAGAGTGTATAGTATTGGGGTAACCTGCCCAGTGGCTTCACCTCAATAGATAAAGTAACTGCTCATCCTCAGATCTCAAAGGGGACTCTGTACCTAGCTAAGCACAAACATCATCTACTCTAATAGACACTGAATACCCAGGTTCTTTTTTTTTTTTTAATTTCGCATTTCCCTGTAGATGTTTTATTGGCTATTTAACTCTCTGTGAACATCTGCTCCAAAAGAGAGCAGAGGGAAAATGGGCAAAATGAAGGCCCTTAATGTCTGGCTGTACCAGCAGAATTACAGGAACTGCTAACACATCCTCTTAATGAGAGCCTGGGATCCAAATCAATCAATTGTCTTTCTACTGCAGTTATATGAAATCCAGGCTCAAAAAAAAAAAATCTGTAGAGTTTACATATGGAATAAAAGCTACCTCAGCCAGTCCTATCTCTTCACCCATCCCTGCTGTGCAAGAACCTTCCCAATTGCATAGAAACACAACACAGTGACCCTGTCCCTTAGACTTCTCCTTGAAAATGGGGAGCTTCCTTAAATAGCCAGGTCAGCTCATCAAGGGAGATATTAGCCTCCCACAATCCCACCTTCCTGATTCTCAAAGATCATACCAAGCCAGAACTCCTTCATGGGGTCCCCAAAACCTTCTACATAACTCCGCCAACGCTTGAAGAAATCCAGCTGTCCAGTGTTCCGTCTCTGGAAGACCTGAGAAAGGAAATGAATGCTTTGCTCTGCCATTGAACAGATAGTACTGAGGGGCAGAAATGGTAGTTGTGTCTTCCAAGCGGCCCTGGGAGGCAAGAGAGCACTACTGACCTGCACATACACTGACCCTGCAACAGTAAGTACATCTTAATTTTTTTAGAAGCAACTTTTATTTATATATCAATATATTGGGTATACTGTCTATTATATTAGTAAGAATTTTAGGTGAAATATATATATTCCAGGTATGAAAATGTATAACACCTAACAGGAGACACCTCTACCCTTAAGAAATTTTAATCCTAGAACACAGAACAACTTGGGAGATCTGGTAATATATTGCTAGTAGTTGGTTGTGTAGGACAGAAGATTCCAGATCTTTGCTGTCTTCGGCATATAACTGTTAACCATTCAGCTCAATTGGAGCAGGATCTATCTGTATGCTGTCTTTTATCTTCCACTTAAATAGTTTGAAAACAGGTATTATTTTTATTCTTGAGAATCCTAACATAGCAAGTATTTAGTATTTATGGAACAGCAGGAGTTCACCCAACAAATATTTATTGAGCATCTCCCGTAGAGTAGAAAACACAGAAGGTGATGGCCAAAATGAAGAAATAGAAATGGTTCCTGTCTGAATGGAGCAAACATTGCAGTAAATAAGATAGACATGAATTAAGTAATCCAACAAATAGGAATTAAGTTAAATCAACAATAAGAGCTATGAGGGAAATATACAGTGGGGCTGGACCTAAGCAAGAGTCACCAGGACTCTCCTAGGAAGTATCAGAGGCCTGTAGGGTAAGCAGGAATGAGAAAGGAAGGTTGCTGCCCCTGGTTCTGAGTGCTGGTCACAAAGGACTAAGAGAGGAGGCTGGAAAACAGGCAAAGGTTGGCCCTGGTGGGATTCAATCTTGTTAAAGATGTTGGTCCATTATAAAAAGGAATGGTAAATTTGGAGGACTCTAAGCAGGAAACAGAGTTTTCCCCAGGTCCCTCTGGCTGCACTGTAGAGAACAGCCTGGCCAGTGGCAAGAGTGGAAGACATGGTTTGAAGACCACTGCACTGTTCTGTTCACTGGGGATGATGAGTTAGACAAGAAGCTACCCTGAAGATAGGCAGGTATCAGCAGAAGGTAAACTTGACAGACTTGGTGACAAAGGGGGTCAACACTGAGAGTTCATGCACACCTGAATTCATTGGTTACTGGAATTCCAATTCATGTTTTTAGGACTTAAGAAACTACACAATCCCACCACAGGTAGTCCTGTTCTGTAGAAGTTTTGATTGCAGAACTGGATAATATTTTACTCAGATGTTCTTGCAGAGGAAGATTCTGAGAGGGACAGCTTTTGCAAGTATATCATAAGCTTACTTGGATACACTGTGTGACTTGGGGGGTTGTTTGTTTTTCCTTTCTTTTTAGCTGTGCTAATGTAGGAATCAAATTAGGGTCTTGTGCACGCTAGGCAAGTGCTCTACTACTGAGTTGCATCTCTGGCCCAGTATCAATTCTTTCTGAGGCATGTAACCAGCTGAAGGAGTTAGTGTGCTGACAAGGGACCTAGGCTTTTTCTCTAAGGTGGAAGTGTATCTGGGGGAAATGGTAGGAGTACACCAAGTTCTATTTCACTCTCCTTGTCCCAAGAACACAGAATGTTTCTCAGCTTCCTTCGAAGTTAAGTAAAAGCAGTGTGTCTATTCCTAGCCCAAAGGCTGTAAGCAGGAGGACCAGAGTAGGCAGGGTCCTCCATGCTGTCTTCCACTGACATGTACCATGGTAAAAGCTACATGTTATAGAAGCTACCTGAATTGCTGAGACAGCACTCAGAAGTGACTCTGTGTGTCTTATTAGAGCATGAGAGTGGGAGGGTGGCTTGTCACTGTCACTGCAGTGGGACCAGGCTGTCCTAATGAACATAGAGATATGCTGAGACTCAAAGTGAAGGCACAAGGGGAAGATGCTCCCATATACAAAGAAAGTTAGAACTGAGGAGAGAGGGGCACAGAATCAATCCTTGAAGACCTCTCCAATTCACTCATAGGCATGGATGATTTCATTAGGGAGAGAAGAAGCAACCAGGAACATAGAAAGAAAATGTGTAACCATAGAGAACTAATGGTCAGTAGTACCCAGTACTGATGAGGGGTAAAGGGGTGTAAGATCAAAACTCCATGGGATTTAGTGACATGGAAAGCTCCAGTTACTTCAGCAAGGGCTGTGTTAGAAAGAGGCAAGAAGCCAGGCTAGGATGGGCTGAGGAGTAAATGGAAAATGAGAAGTAGAGATTTGGTTCTATTTCAGAAAGATGAGTGGCTTTGTATACAAAAAAAAGATCTCTACTCAGGAAGAGAGGGCCACTTCCCCCTTAGAGTAAATCAGACTCCTTTATATGAGATAAACTCGAAAACTTTCCTAAACCCAAACACACCTGCACTCAGTATTGAAAAGAGTAGTGTGTATTATTCCACTTGAACTTGAGACCAAGCTGAAAGCCATTGTGGCCCACTCAGTGATGATTAGCAACCACTTACCAAAGTCTAGAATTGTTTCTCTACCTATGCTACCCTTGTACTGATCTAAAGGAAGAAGCTCCAACATGAAACTCTATTATCCGTAATCTTGACTTTGGTAAAGTAAACCTAATGGTTGTGTAACCTTTACATTTTGTCTAGCAGCGAGAAGAGCTGAAGTCGCATGTGGCTGCTCACCGTCACACGTGGCCCTTCAGCACCATTACAGCTTTGTGGCTGAGGAGGTGCTGAATAAAGACACCCAAGGGAAGAGAATGTTCCAGGCGCCAAGTCAGCCACAGACACTTCCTGGCATGGGGGATAGTGAGTCAGTCGTTTTGGTTTCTGGTCTTAGCCAGCTCACTGTAAAGCAGAGAGGAGTGAGGAAGAGAAGTCTGCCACAGCGTTTCTGGGAAGGCTAGATGGAATGGTACATGTCCTCCAAAAATGTCCCATAAATGGGCATAAGCTGATGAGAAGAATTTAGGGAAAATCACAGCAAACCATTACACACAGTAGTAACATTGCTAATTAGTGTGCTGTTCTTATGTTCCTTTTCTCCATTGCCCATTTGTTGAAGCTTCCCCCACTTGGTTTGAGTTTTTGTTTTTCTGTTTGGTCAGTTGGGGTTTTTTTCCTTCATTTTTCATTTATTTACATACTTAACGTAACAACCGTTTACTGGACGTCTAAGGAATGTTGACTCTGAGAGGGAAAAAAATTAACAATTCCATTTCACAGATGGCAAAGTCCAGGAAAATTACCCATATCCACACAACCATTTGGTGGCTCCAACAAAGATAAAACACAGTCTGGACTTTTGGTGAGAAAGTTTGAAAATCTAGCTCTCCCAGGTCTATTTCTTCAGTAGTATTTCTGAAGACTTGGGAGATTTGTTTCCTAGTAAGGAGCCTGTGTCAACCCTGCTCTCAGATTCTTCTTGTTTCACAGTGGAGTCCTAGGCTGGACATGGCACTGACATTGCTTATGTGTCTATCCATTGTTAAGTAGCATCTCCACCGGAAGGCTGGGATTGATTTTGAGTCTACCTTTCTAATGAAATATGCAATATCAATTTCCCTATCTCCAGTGAACATGTTTGGGGCTTGGAGTTTTGTTGCTCTTTTTTTTTTTTTTGGTTTGTTTTTTTAAGTGCCCCAGTAAGTCCAGGCTAGTCTCAAATTCATACATAGCCAAGGATGATCTTGAACTTAGAACCCCTGTGCTTCTGTATCCCATGCACTAGCACTACAGTCATGTACCATAACATCCAGTTTTCAGTGGTACCAGAGAACAATCCCAGGACTTTGAGCATGCTAGACAAGCACTTTACCAACTTAGCCACAACCACTGCTTCACGTCTCTGAACTGTCAGGTCAAGGTCTAACTAGACCCCCATTACCTCAGAGCTTAAATGAAGTCTTCACTTAGTAAGGTCAGCAAGTCATACGGTAGCAGAGTCTGGCACATACAGATAACAATAAGTTGTTATTTTGTCTTAATAATTGATGATTTGCATAATATTACATCATATTTAAGTATACTGACCCACACAGATAATTTATACTTCTTGATCAGATGGCTTTGTTTGAGGTTTTTAATCGATTTTGAGATTTAAATGCTCTACAATGAACTACTCAAAAAATAGTAAAAGGAAATAAATCTTAAGTAAAACCTTGGGAAATATCTATGTTGGGTTCTACAATCCAGCACTGTTGTTCTGGAGAAGCGACTCACTGTTGTTAATGACTAAATCAGGAGGGGAAAGCCAAACCTGCATTGAACTGCCTGTGGAAAGAGCCTCTGGTACAGCCCTTAGACTTCCAAGATGGAAAGATGTGAAACTTTTAAGTGTTCCCTGATGTTCTTTCCAGCCTCCTCCTGGCCGTCTGGGTTGCCTTGGGGGCAAAGTCCTTTTGCCTGTTCATCAAATTAGGTGCCTGCTGCCTGAACCAGAGAACAACTTCCATAAAAGGATTTTAAAAGCTCAATAGAAGCCTGGGTTATCTTTAAGAGATTGAAAACTCTTGAACCAAATAAAAGCCCCAAATAGTAAATAAAATATGTAGCAGAAGTTTGTAGGGCTCTATATATCTTCTGGAGCCCCTGGCTTAGAGGAGATCTCTGTACAGACTGCGTATATTACCTACTGGAGACTGGAACAAACAATGTGAGGGGGTGTGGGGTTGCAACTGATACTGTGCTGAGTGCTGAGTGGATTCAGTAGTTCTGTAACTTACAGTGTTTAAGGTAGGTTCATTTGTATGAGTATACAGAAAGCAAATCCCTTGAAATTAGAGATTCATTTCATTTGTTCATTTCTGGATTGTTAGTCTGTGACTGACACATCATAGGTACTCAACAAATATTTATACAATATATCATGGGTTGTGCAGACAGAAAAACCACCACTTCTCCCTCTGTCCCTCCCTCCATCTCTCCCTCCCTCTCTCCCTGTCTCTCTCTGTGTGTCTCTGTGTCTCTGTGTCTATCTCTATCTCTCAGTGTCTCTCTCTACCTCTCTCTCTCTCTCTCTCTCTCTCTCTCTCTCTCTCTCTTTCTCTCCTGTCCTACATAAATGGTTCCTTCCCTGTACAAGCTTCACTTTCAAAAAGAGCCACACTAAGCAGTACAGACATCCTGCCAGTGGTCAATTACAGGCACAACGGTGGGAAATTGGGCTGTGTGTGGACCTGAGTGAACTGAAGCTCAGGTACCATGGTGCTGATGAAAAGCAGCAGGCACAGCCCTATGGGGCTGCTTAGGTCGGAGATTTCCCATGTTACAATCTGTTGTGTTATTTTATAAACCAAGAGTTTCTGCCATCCAACCAATTGTTGGATGAAGCAGACATTCCACTATCCTTTGTCAATGTGTGGACGCTGAGTTTTCTTCATCGTCGCACATCAGATGATATCATTTTACCTGGGACTGTTCAAAACATACCTGGCTTCCCAGAGCCCTGAGCAAATGGGTAAATGAGCATAGCTAGACACGATGAGACCATGCTTTCTCTCTCCCACAATTGGTTCCAACGCACACCAGGTGAAAGCTCTCTACCATTAGAGAAAGTAAGACCCTCAATTGGCTCAGACACAGGGAGAAGCCAAGTGAGAGAGAAAGAATGAACACTCCATCTGTAATCTTCAAAGATTCATCCTAGAACTGAATCAGCAAGCAATGAAAAAACTTTCAGAGAATAAGGAGACACTGGCCCAAGGGAGGAAAACTTCCTGGCAGAGGGGACAGCTTGACACAGCCCAAGCTTCCCTGCCTCTGGCCTTACTCTTTCCAATCAAAGCTCTAGAATTTTGTTTCTGTTCTACAGAGCCAAGGTGTAGACTAAAGACCAGAAGACCTAGTTCAGAGGACTGCTTTCCCCAAAGAAGCCATGCATTTCCATCTTGTGTGACCTGACATGAGCCATCAGGAAGACCAAAGATCTGGCAGATGTGACTCCTGGAGTGTGGCTCCAGCATGTCACTGACATGTGTGACTGACTCAACCAAAGAGCTTTTCTCTGTGAGCTTCAGCTTCCCTCTTTGTAAAACAAGAATGGTAATCCTCTCATACTAAAACAGCATGTGAAGGTCATGTTCTTCAAGGTGCTTTGAATACGGTAGAATTTAGAAATAATACACATATCTGGCACTATTAGATGGTGCTAAACTCATAGTCATTAGCCCTGGGTTTAACCAAGCCTGTTCTGTGACCAGTGTTAAGCCCTAAATTCTTTCATTGCAATGGGCTAAGATCTTTCTCCAGTTACAAGCCATCAAAGTTCCTTCCCCCATGGGCAGAGAAGAAATAGGACCTCCATGGAGCAGCTGTGACCATCTCCCTGGGCTAGGAAACAAGATGCTCCACGGAGCTCCTCCGGGCACCATTAGGACTCACAATCCAGCCACCTCCATCGGTGTCCATGTCACAGTACACCTGCATGGGCCGACTGGCATCGCCATTGAGGTAGATCGTGTAGAGGCCACTGGCAGCATTGGTGTTCTGCTGAACCTGACTGCAGTCTGAGGGGTGTGGGAATCGGGCATCCACTGAGACCAAGCAGAAGGACAGTTTTGTTAGAAGGGAAAGAAGAGACATTGTGGCTTTCCCCATTACAAGGCAATTCGCTTGGCTTGGAAATTACTTCATAGCCTCCTACACTATTTTGCTTTTTCCAATTCTTAGCTCACATATTGGTCATGGAACATGTTTTTAGGAGGAAGGCAAGCTGGCCTTCACTCTGCTCCCATGAAACTCTACAGATGCACCTTTAAGTTAGGTTTATGTCCCTCAGTGTCTGGGGTCACCTCGCCTAGACGTAACACTTGGCTTCGTCCACCTCCCTCTTTAGTCCCATCACTATGGTGTGGATTCGTTTGCAAACCAGAACTCCACTTTTACTTCTCCATAACTCCGTGATCCTCCCTGGACTCTCCACTGCCTGCCCCCTCTATTGATTGTCACTTAAAGGGCTAGATTCCACATTACCTGTAGAAAGGGTGGTAGACACACTCCGGCTCCGCTGTTTACCTTTAAAGGCAACCAAGGAAACAGGATAGGTGACACCCTGTTCCAGGTCTTGCAACTCAAATCTCTGCTGGCCTCTTTGGAGCTCCACCTCCTACAGACAAAGGAGATAACAGGCAGTGAGCAGCTCAGTTTCTCTTCTCAGCACCCTGGGCGGCAGCAGCATTTACAAGCATGACATTAGAAGCTTTCCCAAGGCTCAGTGGCAGCCCAGAATTCCAGTGAGTGTCAGTAAACTTCCTGGAGGGCCATGCCATGGAGAGTCTGCACTGCTATGAGGGCTAGCTGAGAACTGAGGCTATGCATGGCCACCACAGGACCACTAGCTGGGTTGCCTAGGGACCTGGGCCTTCAAATACCTGTAGAAGCACTGATTCTAGCATCTGCTATCAGCAGTAGGCTGACAATGTTTGATTAAGAACATGTTTTTAGTAAAAAAGGAAACTGGCCTTCATAACTGTGAGACACAGAAATAGTTGGTATTTCAAGAAACCCTGAATATGCCTTACTCACTCTATAAACATTGGACTAAACTCTCCAAGCTGGACAGTCAGATGCATTCATTGTAATAATGAGTAAGTCAAAGTGTTCTTCTCTTTTTTTCCTTCTTATTTCTTTTTGTATCTGTTTGTTTATTTATTGTCACAGAGAGAGCAACAAGTTTCTACTGGCCAAGTTTGCTGAACTTCAGAGATTCCCAAGGAAGGCTAGCCCTTAAACTAATGGTCATCTATTTATTCAGTGGATTGTCCCTGGTGGCCTGGAGTGTGGCTACACATACCTCTGACCTTAGCTGCTTTCCAGACTGAAGCAGCAGGAGTTCAAGCTTGAAGTCAGCCTCAGGAATTTAGTGAGACCTTGTCACAAAATAAGAATACTAAAATGGGCTAGGGACATAGTTCAAGGGTAGAGCACTTGCCTAACATGTACAGGACCCTGAGTTGAAGTCTCACAGTTGCCAAAAATAAAACAAAAGAAAATATTCACATGCTAAGCACTATCCTAAATGCCTTAGACACAAAAAAAAAAACCAAAAACTTTTCAGTCTTCCTGGAACTTGAATATATTAAACAGGTCCAACAATTTACAGAAGAAGAGGAGGAGGAGGAGGGAGAGGAGGAGGAGGGAGAGGAGGAGGAGGAGGAGGGAGAGGAGGAGGAGAAAGAGGAAGAGGAGGGGGAAGAGGAGAAAGAGGAGGAGGAAGAAGAAGAGGAGGAGGAGGAGGAGGAGGAGGGAAAGTGGGGGAAAAGAAGGAGAGGGAGGGGAGAGGAAAAGGGGGAGAAGGAGAAGTGGGAGGAGCAAAAGGAGCAGCAGTTGAAGCTGCAGCAGAAGGAGGAGGTGCAGCAGGAAGAAGTGCAGGAGAAGCAGGAGATACAGGAGGAGCTGGTGCTGGAGGAAGTACAGGAGGAAGTGCAAGAGGAAGTAGGAAATAGCAGAGCTCACAGTGGAGCTTGGTGATACAGAGTTTGCCTAGTGTGCACAAGACCTTGAGTTTGAGCCACTAGAAATTCAAAATAAACAGTAAAAAAAAAAGAATGATAAAGTAGAGAATACACACAGCCAGAAAATGTGTAGTAGTCAGCTAGAAGCAGGCACAGAGGCTAGTACTTACAGTGAGAACATGGTGTTCACAAATAACTGTACTCATCAGGTGGCAGACCAACAAGTCAAGCCACCAAATTGTTCTACAGGGAGGCTGTGAAGAGAAGGCCCCAAGAGAAATACAAGAAGTCCTCCTACCTTCACGGTGCCATTTGGGAACTGGTAGGTCAAAATGTAGCCATCAATTTGAGCAGAGGGGGGCATCCAGGTCAAAACCCCACTAGAATGTGTTACCCCAAATGGACGAAGATTTTTGGGAGGGTCAATTTCTGTAAATGAGAAGCAAGTAGTTATTGTTCCTAAAACACTCACACATTTAAGTCGTCAGTTTCCTTTTCCTCCTATGTGTTGTCCATTTTTTAATCCATCCTTCAAGCTGCTGTCAATCCTATTCTTGCTCAGGGCCTCCCTAGCTTTGCCTCTAAAAGTACGAACCTGTGGAGTTCAAGAGGATCTAGGACTACGGCCTTGAGTAGTCTCTAGGGGGAGGAACTCTGGGCCTCGTTTCCCGGGAGATTCCCAGAGTGGTGAATATCAACGGTCTAATTTGGCACACAGGTTCTCTATGGTGGTGGAGGTTCTAGAATGATTTGAAAGATGAGCGCCACAGATCACAAAGGGCCCCGCACAGAGAACCCAGGGATCACTCAAAGGCACCTACCTGTCTGGAGAGGCAATGAAAAACTGACAGGCTTCTCATGATTAGTACTGAGAGACCCCCGAACCCCCAAAGACTTATATACTGAGGTTAGGAACCATAATGTGCAAGGGGACTTGGGATAAATTTAAATTAGTATAAAAATACAAAATGTTATTTCTTAAGCATCTAAGTCTATGGCCTTCAGTACATACCCAGTACAGAAAAAAGAGATAGTTTTTTATATATTTAAAAAGAAAGTGGGTTTGGTCACTCATGCCTGGCAGACCAGCACTCAAGAGGCTGTTCCAAGAGGATTTCAGAGAGCTTGATGTCAAAGACCTTCCTGTGAGACTTTCTCAGAAATAATGGGGGGAGGGCTAAGAAGGTGACAAAGCCGGAGGGAATTCACAGGTGTGTGAGCATACATCAGAGGGCACCCACAGGCATGTAAGCAAAGATCCAAGGACATACACAAATATGAGCATGTACCAGAGGGCGTACATGGGTGTGTGAGCACACACCAGAGGGTGTGCACATGTGTGAGAACACATACCAAAGGGTGTGCATGGGTGTGTGAGCATACACCAGAGGGCATACATGGGCATGTGAACACACACCAAAGGGTGTGCATGGGTGTGTAAGCAGACACCAGAAGGTGTGCATGAGTATGTGAGCACACACCAGAGGGTGTGCATAAGTGTGTGAGCACACACCAGAGGATGTGCAAGGGTGTGTGAGCAGACACCATAGAGCATACATGGGTGTGTGAGCATGTGCCAGAGGGCATGGATGGGTGTATAAGCACACACCAGAGGATGTACATAGGTGTGTGAGCCTGTACCGTAGACCAAGAAAATAAAAACTCAGGGAAAATACTAATCCCCACCAAAGCTGGCCAGAATGTTCGTATTTTTTAAGCAAATAAGATATGAATGGAAATTTCCATTTTGAAGGAAAAAAATCATAAAAGGCAATTCTAATTTAGAACTCCCCAAAAAGACATCTCCAGGCTATTTTCTACCCAGTAGCATTTCAGCTGAGAACTGAATTGTAGTATTTTAATAGAAATCAGACAGCTGTTGTTTTGAATTAGGTTGTTTTGACAAATTCTGAGCCTCTGTAATATCAGCTTGGTTTGATTTTGTAAAGCATAACATCTGGCATGGATCATTCGCTATCCATCACACAGAGAGACTGAATTTCCTTCAGAATCAAATCAGTACGTAGCTATTAACGTATTTTGAGGCAGTTTCTGCCTCCTCTTTGATTAACCACTGTCCCCTGGCTGTGGACTCAGGATGTCTGACTTGGTTAATTTCCTGTTTCTATGAAGGAGGAAGATGATAACTTCGTTGCTGTCTTTAAAATTTGGAAAAGTGGGGCTAGCATGCTGCTCTGCCGACAGGTGATTGCCACTGAACCTGACAGCCTGATTTCCATCCCAGAACCTACATGAAGGAAGGAGAGAACCAGCTCCTGAAAATTGTTCTCTGACTTCCACATGTGTGCTGTGGCATGCTCATTCTCATATGCAAACATACACACACACACACATAGAGAGAGGAGGTGGAAGGAGGACGTGAAGGGGAGGGAGAAGGAGGGGAGAAGGAAGGAGAGAGAAATGTAATTTAATTGTTTTAAATCGGGGAAAGTAAAGCAACAAGAAGATAAAGGAGGGAGAGGAGATGAGTAGGGAAAAGTAATGGGGGAGAGGAAGAGGAGGACAATGGCCACCCTCTAGGGAGTCTGGAAGTAGGGAGAACAGCATCTGGGGTTTGGAGTTTAAATTTTCTTTTATACATATTTATAATGTAATTTTTTGTTCTTAGTATACTTTAATGTGTGTGTGGGGGATAATCCTAGCTAATTTTAACTAATAAAAACCATCAAGAAATTTAGGGCACCTCTACTGACCATAGAGGAGATAAATGGACCTTGTTCAGAATGCCTGAAGGGGCCACAGACTTTGGGTCCCATGGAGACTCAGTTTCTGTTTCTTTCTTCTCTCAACAAAAGCTGAGACCCAACCAGTTTCTTACACAAACCAGGGACAGAGATCCTGGCATCTGGCCTCAGGCAACAGGCTGGGGAAGAATAACTTATACAACCGTATACCATGTGCCCTCAGTCCTACCTGACCTGTCAAAGCACTACCTCAGAATGGGAACTATGAGACTGAGGGAAAGTCTTGGTGGGTAAAGTCCTTCACGGGCATGCATGAGAATCTAAGTTCAGATCCTTACTGCCCATATAAAAAGCCAGAGGTAGTAACACATATCTCCAATACCAAGGTAGAGGAGGCAGAGGCAGACAAGATCCACTGAGCTTTACTGACCAAACAGCCTAGCCAAACCAAAGAAAGACCGTTTCAAAAAATAATATTGACAGCAACTGAGAAAGACACTTCATGTCAACTTCTGACCTCCATGCCCATGAATACATGCATTAATGTACATGAACATGTAAACACATACAACACACACAAACAAGGTCAACGGAGAATCGCTTTGGCAAACATCTTCATATAAAGCAACTATCCCTCCTGCTTCCCTCCTCATCCTTTTTGTAGAGGAAGACTCACTCTTGGAAAGAGTGAAGTATCATAGTACCTGTTAGGGCCTTGGTATCAGCCTTCTTGCTCTCCCGGGCCCCCTTCTGGGCCCACACATGAATGGTATATTCCATGCCTGGCTTCAGGCCTGTCAGAATGGTGCTGCTCTGATCCTTTGACACTGGAATCTCCATAGTCTCTCCATCCGCAGAGGTGTAGCGAACCATGTATCTGTCAATGTTGGCTCGCACTGGGTCCCAGGAGATGGTGGCTGTATTCTCTGTCACTCGGTTGGTCACCAAGTTCTTGGGGCTGTCAATTTCTTTTTTTAAGATTTAAAAAAAGCTGAGTTTAGAACCATGAAAAAGCATCTCACCACCCCCTTCACAAGAGTTTTCCTCCATTCAAGAGAGCTAATAAAGGTATAATTATTGCTAATTATTTATAAATTATTACATAATTTATAAATTATTACATAATTTTATCACTAATAGTAGTATAAATACAGAAACAAAGAAGTTATAGTCCAATCCTGCAATCCCAACAGTTCTGAGGCCAGAGAAGCACAGATCCAAGGACAGCCAGGGCTACATGGTAAAGCCCTATTTCAAAAATTGAAAGAAAGAAAGGAGAGAGGGAAGGAGGAGTAAAGGAGTAAAGGAAGAAAAAAAGGAAGGAAGGAAGGAAGGAACGAACGAACGAACAAACGAACGAACGAACAAAGAGGGTATGAGAGTTCCCCAGTTTCCATTTTCCAAGGAAACAAGATGCTGGATGTCACAACCAACAAAGTCATGTCTTTTCTACACTTATCCATCTGGAAATGTTCTGTCTTCATTTTCATCAGCATCATAGTGAAAATCAGAACTAACTAAGCCACTGAAACCATCACTGGAGCAATCTCCATTGCATCTACTGTGCTTCATCAAATATCCTCCAGCCCCTAGGCTTATAAAAGAGAGATGAAGACTCTCTTCCTTATTTCTTGTTTTCAAACAAAGACCTCTCTGCTCTGACTTTTGGAGCCTCCCACCACTTCCAGGGCATTCTTCTCTTCCTCTCTCTATCTTCATCATTGGTATTTCCCCTCCACCATCAGTCTCAGAAAATCAATATGAAGGATTCCCCTTCTTTCCAGATTTCATGCCACTTCTCTGCACCTCTCAACCAATTAACCAGAGAAGGATCTGTCTACCTCTGTTGAGGTACAACACCACTCACTTCACATTCAAGCTCAGCTACATCGTGATCCTGCACTATACCACCAAATCTGCTAGTATAGGTCACTAAAATGTTCTGTGCAGACAACTCTCTACTGGACATGAACATCCTCGGTTTACTCAGTCTTTTTGTTTTGTTGCTTGTTTGTTTGTTCTAATTTACTCCATCTTTAAGTGACATTGTACAGAGCAGATCCATTCCATTCTTGGAAAACTCTCAGCTTGGCTTCCGTAGTTTCATACTCTTCCATACTCTTAATGCATTGGCACCTCTGCATTGTCTCTTCAGCCCTTTGATTGTAAACTTCATACACTGGAACATCTAAGGATTGGATTGTATGTTCTCTCATATTCTCTCCCTCTCCCTTTTCCTCTCTGTCTCTCTTTCTCTCTCTCTCTTTCTCTCTCTCCCTCTCTCCCTCTCTCTCTTTCTCTCCCCTCTCTTTTCCCTCCTCCTCTCTCTTTCTTTTTCCCTCCTTCTCTTTCTCTCTCTCATCCTTTCTTCCTTCTTCCTTCTGTCCTTTTCTCTCTCTTCTTTTCTCTCTCCCCATTTCTCACTAATATGATCCTATCATATCTGTGTTTTGAAATATTTACTGGCTACCCTTGTGGAACAAGAAAACAATTCTAAGCCCCTCATTCGTATGTACTATTGCAGATCCTCTACAATGCGTGGCTCATCCCCAGTATGTATTTGTGGAACTAATAAAAGCAAACCATGTAGTAAGCAAAAGAATCTCACAGTTATTTTAAATTTAAGTATTTAAGTCTTTATTGCCTCCCTGAAGAGATAAACACCTCTAAGTCTCCTTTCTCAAAAAACAAACAGTTCTGCAATCTTCCATATTGCTCAAAGCAGACACAGTCATACTTCTTTATTTTTCCTTACTCCATGTCTTATCAATCAAGTACTATTGCTCATATCTCCAAAATATGATGTCAGCCATCCCCTTCTCTGTGTTCTTATTGCTGTCACCCCTCCACCATCACTAACCAGATTTTAATAGTAACTCCTTGACTGATCTATTTCTTCCCTGGTCATCTCTTCAACTCATTCTCACTGTGTCCCGAAAACTGTTTTCAGATGAATACTGTGCTGTGTCTCTAATCTATAGTTATGGCACAGTTCCTCCTCCAGGCACCACATGCTCCTGTGTAACCTGATGACTCTGTTCCTTCCCACCTCGTCTCAGGACAATTGCTGTCTCACCTCTTGCTCCAATGATACCTACCTCTCCCCATTTCTCAATCATCTCATTACAGATTAGAGTCCTGAAATTACTTATACCAGAAATGGTCAGCTTCTCCTCCAGATGGTCCAGCACAGCACTGAGCCATTAGTCAGGTGTCTACTGATGAAATGTGGTTAGTCTGACCAAATAATTGATTTTGCTTATATTTATCTAATTAAATTAGTTGGGTTGGGGGGGTGTATTTGTTTTGTTTTGTTTTGTGTTTTCAAGGACAATTTAACAGCACAGTGTGGCAGAGTTAAAGCTGAGCATGTGCCCGTCCATCTGAGGACCTCAATCTTCAGGCTGCCTATCACTGACAACGGGCACTGTGTCTTGAATCTTAGAGAGAATTCTGAGAACTGATGCATGAAATATGCTCTGCCCTTTCCAAGGCCTCTTCTCACAGGCTGTAATACAGATGTGTGCTCACTAATTAGATGAATACAGTTCCCTATTGGTGGTGGATATACAACAGGCAAGGGGCCTGGGTCTCCTGCACAGAGGGAGCTACTGTGTCAGCCCTGAGTACTTATTCTCTGTTATTCTACATAAACTGCAGTCTTAATAGTCAGTTCTTTGATGCACACCCTCCAGCCACTCACCCCGTCTAATCACTACACCTTCCATCCCACTCTTCACTCAACCTACACCATCCTCACGTCCTTCAGAGAGCGTACCATAATTTACAGTTATACGTTGTCCTTTTCGCCTATTGCCTGTCTCTCCCACTGGATGTCAGGAGAGCCCAGGTCATACCTATGTTGTTCATAACTCCATCACTAGCTCCACCATGACCCTAAAAGATGGCGAGGAAAAGTTAGCTTCATACTAGACACGGGGCTCTTCTGCTTCCCAGCATGACATTTATAACTTTATACCACATGGTTTCTATTAGCCAAGTCTACATGGAACAGCTTGTCTCAACACAGTTCTTTAACCCAGTCATTTTAGAACTTTTATATTAATTTCACATTAGTTCCTAAAATCTTCAGTAGCTGGGGAACATTAACAATTAAGGGCATATGCTACCGGAAAAGTTTCAAGGCGTTAGGGGGACTACTCAGCAGAGGGCCTGTCACTGTTCTCTCTGAAAGTGAATGGAAGGTTTGGGTTTGGTTTCCTTTCCTTTCTTTTCTCTTTTCTTTCTTTCTTTCTTTCTTTCTTTCTTTCTTTCTTTCTTTCTTTTTTTTTTCATCAAAACCTTCAGTAAGGCTTTAAGAAGTAGAACTTTCGAGAGCAGAGCCATCACTAAGGGACTGACACCTCCACAGAAGTGGGCAAGTCAGCTCAGCTCTAGGCTTAAGTTTAAGACCTTGCCTTCACTTTGTCTTACATGTTCATTTGTTCATGTGTGTTATTATGCAAGACAACCCAGGCACTAAGATTCTTTTCTACAACTACAAACCAAAAATAAAATAAATGTTTGTTGTTTACAACTTTACCTTGTCTCTGACAGGCGCTGTTTGTCAGAGGAAATGGGTTGAGGTGTGCTCCTGAAACAGCCCAGTCTCTGAGGTCACAGACCCCAAAGCACCAGTGCAATCACACAGTAGTAATAGATAGACCTCTATTATTAACCTAGCTAGTTCATCCCACACCTCCTATTTTACAACAACGTAAGAAAAGGAAAAGAATGTTTGCTCTTCTGTGACAGGCTTGACATTCCCAACGAACAACATCCATTACCTGTGGGGGCCTTGGTTTTGGCCTTCTTGCTCTCCCGGGCCCCCTTTTGAGCCCACACTTGGACAGTGTACTCCACACCTGGCCTCAGGCCTGTAAGGACGGTGCTGCTCTTCTCCTTCCTCACTGGAATCTCCCTGGTTTCTCCGTCAGCAGATGTGTAGCGCACCATGTACCTGTCAATATCAGCCTGCACTGGGTCCCAGGAGATGGTGGCTGTATTTTCTGTCACCTGATTGGTCACCAGATTTTTGGGACTGTCGATGTCTACAAGGAAAAATCTTAGTCAGTATGTGCTATTGGGTCAGCAAAATGGCTCATTCAGTAAAGATGCTTTCACTGACTGTGATCCCTGAAACAGTAGGAGAGAACTAACTCTCGAAAATTATCTTCTGACCTCCACACATGTACCATGTCCTGTGTGTGCCTATGTGTACACATATACACGCACACATGCACATAAGTGTTGTTGTTGTTGATTATGATGATGATGATGGCAACAACAAGAGATCAGTATGCACCATTGTCCCAGGGTGCAGAAACTGCTAGCTAAGTTGACTGGTGTGAGTTTTCATTTTCTGTCATTTTCTATCTCATACATTCTATTTTGGTGGAGGCTTGTTCATTTGCTGTTTGCTTCTTATATCTCTTCATACATGCACATATCTTCCCAGGAATGCTTTCCTATCCATGAAGAGACCCAACCAACCAGAATCAGAAAACCTAGAGTATGATTTCTACTAAGACTACAAAAAACCTAATTTCTCATTCATTTAGTAAGGACTATCAAGCCTTTGCTCTTTATGTGAGGCTTATGACAGGCAGCATACCGAGATTCGAGATGCAGACCTTGGTTTTGCAAACAAGTTTATATCCATTAGCATGATAATACATTTCTCTCATAGGACTTATCATTTATGGTGACAAAGTTACAATTAAAATATGACTTGGATGTAGAAAAGCAAACTTTTACTTGTGACAGCAGATGTAAATTCTAGAATCTTAACGTAAAATTTAATTTTTTTCATTTTATTGTCTTATTCATAAAAACAATATCTCTAGCAAGAGTTCCAAGCACTTGGAAGAGGAATTGCACACACAATCAGCTGAGCAGTTTGGAGACTGTTTAGAGAGAACATAGCCCAATGGTTATCAACCTACGGGTTTAATTCTTTCACAGGGGACACCTAAAACCATTGGGAAAAGCAGATATTTATATTATAATTCATAACAGTAGCAAAACTATAGCTATGAAGTAGCAACAAAAATAATTTTATGGTTGGAGATCCCCACAACACGAGGAACTGTGTTACAGGGTTGCAGCATCAGGAAGGTTGAAGACCACTGGTCCAGCACGTAAGGAAACAATTTGGAAGGAGGAAGGGATGGGATGTGAAGCTGATCATGAGAGAAGTAAAGCTGCTCTTCCAAAAACCGTCAGTACCCATCTGTGTCACAGGGAGAAATTAAAACTTGACTTCCCCTAAGCTTGTCCTGGCAGCCATCATACTGCTAACCCACGCTGTTCATTACCTGTGTGACCTTCAGTGTTGGCTTTCTTGCTCTCCCGGGCTCCTTTCTGGGCCCACACTTCAACTTTGTACTCCACACCTGGCCTCAGGCCTCTCAGGACAGTTCTCCTCTCTTCCTTCCCAATCAGGAATTCTTTGGATTCTCCATCAGCAGAGGTGTAGCGCACCACATACCTGTCGATGTCAGCCTGTACTGGGTCCCAGTATACACTGAGAGTGGTCTCTGTCACCTGGTCAATCACCAGGTTTTTGGGACTATCAATATCTGAAAGGAAAAAGCACTGGTCAATAAATACTAACTGGAGTAGACACAAAGACTGAGGCCATTGCGCTTGGGCTGAGTTTCCTGAGGTTACAGCTTCCCACTCCATATTTCTATTGTCAGTATGTGGCCTCATAGACAGAGAGCATTGTTGAACTCTTGGATCCTCAAAGAGGATCAGGACAACGGGATGGCCATCACAGTCAAATTTAGAAGGACGATGTTCTACTCAAACCCCAGAAGAACAGCTGAAGGACAGAAAATACCTTAGGTTATAGTTAGTAGACCAAGAATCATTCCCAGTTCTCACATTCACCAGTTATGAACTTGGACAGCTCAACTGCTCTGAGTGTGCCTCAGTTTCCTTTTGCATAAATGTGACCCTTAGACTAGGCTATAAGTCAATATTCCATGTATACTTCAAGAATCAAATCTCACCTTCATCAGCTCTATATATGTCTTGGTGAAATAAAAGATTTCACTGGTTTGGGGATTTTTAATTGTAAAACAGGGTGCTATGAACTCAGCAAATTCCTCGGAGGAAAGGAAGAAAGCACTTATTCCCTCCTAATGGGTATATAAAGTAGTGTAAGCACTATAGAAATATACTGGCATATATAATACACTGAAAAATAAAGGACCAAATAAGAGAGCAATCCAGAAATTGTACACCCAGGCATATACGTCCTGGAAATAAACTTGCACACAAATGCTATGGCACAATGCACAATTTCACAAGTGATAAATGGAGAAACAAATTGTCATATGGTCATACAATGAAACACTCACTAATGATAAAATTTAGAATGGATTCATGCTACAATGTGAAAGATCCTGAGGAATAGTGTTTCATGAGAAAAGTAAATCACTAAGGGCCACATGAAATATGACATATATCTATAACAAATCAGAGAAGTTTCTTTGTAGAGTGGACAGAGTTGATACAGAAACTGTCAACCAGTCACAGTTCAGAGAATAAATGTCTGTCGAGGGCTCAGCCACAAATTTGACATCTATATCACACACACACCCTGGCTTGGGGACCATTAACAAAGAAGAGACAGTAAGACTGTAAGAGCCAGAGTTGGAGAAGACCTGCACAAAAAAACAGGGTCTTGTGAATGCTGTAACCATGAACTCCCAGCAGCATGAATGGGAGAGGGATTCAGGGAACCTGCTCCCTCCCCAGCTGAGGAGCTATTGACAATTGATGGGTTCTAGAAAAGGATCTTTAAGAGTGTGGTAGGTAAACCACAGATGGCCCCACACCCAGAAGTATATGGGTACTATAAAGTGGATTCCTTGGGTTATAAAGAAGAAGGAAGAAACTACAACCCAATCTTGGGAGGAGGTGGGGAGAGAAGGGAATGATCACAATAGATTAGGTGCATTATGAAATTTTCAAGAATAAACAAAAATATACTTTTATTTAAAAAGATACATCCAGAGCAGAGACCTCTATAGATATAGACAGCACTTGTTACTCAGGGCTGCAGGGAATGGCATGGGAAGCAGCTGGTGATGGACAGGAGGTTCCTCTAGCTGGTGATATCACTGAGACAGTCACAGTCACTGTGCAACTCTGGGACTATGTCAAGAAAATACTAAATCCCCTGAACTGAACTCCTCAAGAGGGTAAATTGTAGTGTGAAAAGGCATCTTGGGCAGACTGTTCTTGATGAAGAGGAAACACAGATAGAAAAGCCTTAGAATTATCAGCTGTTCTTAGATATAATTAGTCACAGGATCTTTAAAGGAGAAAACACAGTATCCAAGAGGGTTTCTTTTCTAAGAAAGCAATGTCCTTCTCTGTCTCTAAGAGAGCACAGCAAAAGGCATTTATTTCAATAAAGTATTTGGCTTATAGATCACAGCATATGTTCTTTCTTTTCAAGAGGATCCTTTTGAGACTGATCACAAAGGAAACACACATCTTGATAAACAGTGGGTGGATGTGTCAATCATCATTAACCTTGAAGAGAAAAAAAAAGGAGGATATGGGCTCCTTACTTTGTACTAACATGGTAAATAGCATGGAGGAATGGTGTGGGTGTTTTATCATGATAAAAGTGTATCACTCTGGTCTTCTACAGTCAGTAGTTCTTTCCAAGGCCAGAGAAGGAAGAGCAAGTATCCTGCCTAAGGCTTACAGTGAAATATGT